TCTAGTCCAGCCTTTTGCATGATGTATTCTGCATATAAGTTAAATAAGCAGGACAATATACAGCCTTGTCGTACTCCTTTCCCAATTTTGAACCAATCAGACTGATATATAAGGGCTCCTAATTCAGCAAGTGACAGATAAATGGAAGCATACATCCCTCTGCTGATCTCCTCAGAATCAGGGCAAAAGTTTCTTGCTCTACTGCTATTGCACTTCCCCATGAGACTAAGTTCTTTAATAATTTCTCATGCCAGTTAAGAGTATGCAAATATTTCACTAGACAAACTTGACACAGGAGGACATTTGTGCATTAAGAGGAGGTTATGGTGCAGCTGGAACAGGAGGAGAAGATTACAGTGGTAGAATCTCTGGTGGTGGTGGTGGTGGCTGGTCAGAGATAACTTCAGTAGAGTTGACAACAGTAGCTTTGGAATGTGTAACTTTCTCCTTCTCCTCCTCCTCCTTTCCCTTCCCTCTTCCCCACCACCCTCAGGTACAGTAGTGAGGGTCTTCTTCAAAAGAAAATATTTTAGATGGGCACTGCAATTGTATTCAGGCAGACTAGAAACAGTTTAACAGGTTTTGCACAGTGGGGAATATTCCTCCCAAAAACCACTTTCTGTGTCCATCTGGGGAGGAATTCTCACTTTCAAAACAGAACAACATTTTAAAAATGCCCCCTTCTGGGCCATAGGCTCTGAGAGGAAATAAAAAACAATACAGCAGCAATGAAAGAATAGTGCATATGCACTAATGGGGCGGTATAAAAATGAATGAAATACATACAATAATAATAAATAAAATATTTAAATGGACACTACTGATATATAAACAATGAAAGAAAGAAAGAATGAAAGGAAAAAATGACTCTGCTTTCTCTGTTTCTTACTACATGCTGCAGCTGTGGCTGACAAAATGGAACTGAGGAACAACCTCTTGTACATGCGCTGTAGGGAGCAGGGTTGGGGCGACTCCTAAAACTGTCTCTATTCAGAAAGTTCTAGATTGTGGCTGTGCACAGGCACAGATGCATGAAAGTAGTGCACAAAGACCACAATGAAGATCACACAGTATCCTCCTCACCAAGGCCGTCTTGAAACTAAACACACACACTCCACAAGTCAGGAAGAGAGAGAGATTACATTCCAATAAACATAAAAGGCATAACCAGAATTGGACATTATGAAAACTTGCGATTCTTACTGGGCTCAGATTTTCTTTGGTAAGTAACAATCTAAACAATGCAAGTGTTTCTGCCAAAGGACCTGAATGTCTATACAGTATTAACCTTCAAAATTACTCTTTGTTTTTATTTTAATATCAAATCTCATTGGTTGAAATCCTGTTGCACAAATTTGCAATATGTAAGCCTGAAAATGTCTTCAGTTGTGACAGCTTTTTGTAAATTAAAACTCTCCAAATGCTACTATCCAAATGTTTGCTTGGGATCTCCATCATGGGGAAATCATTGAGGGCCGTAGGATGGGTGCAAAGTCTTAACTTTCCCAAAACTGCCACCTGTGAGATTGTTTTACTGGCAGTGGTGAGTTTTGAAAATTTAACAGCTTCCCCCATCCTATTGTTCCCCAACAGCTTACCCACACTGAAAAGGATCCCAAGAGAGACTCAGAACCTTTGGGGTGCAGGACTGAAAAAATAATTAATTTACGAAAGTACTATAGATGATGATGCCATTCAGCTTTATGCAGCGTAAAGTTGCACAAGAGGAATTTTAGCTCATGAGATTGAAACTGTAATTCTATAAAAGCAACCTTTCATTTAAAACATGACAGTTTACTCACCTTGCCGTATTCTTTCAAGATATGTCTGGATTTGTTTTGTGATAGCTTGAGTATCCTCAAGCACTCTGTTCCATATCCACCATTTGCTGTGGGTTGCATCAACCACATACCAGTTCTGGTGCTGCTCTTCATAGTAAGGTCTGATTTCTTCAGTCTGTGCTTTGTAACATGAGTTCTTGACAGAAAGAATATGAGAGCTGTCGTGCGCGGGATAAGGAAGTCTGAGAAGACAGTTTGAAGTGCATCAACATAAGGATTATTTAAACTGCCCTCTAAAAATTATTCTACTGCATATCATATTGCTACACACAAACCATCAGTATTGATCTGACTATAAAGTTGTGTCTTCAAAGTGGCCTGTATGCTCTGACTTGGAGGTATACATGAGACAATTAGAGGATCATTAAGGGAGCAAATTTAAGGGCTTACGGCATTTTGTGACCAGTACAACAGAAGCAGGGCAAAGTGAGTGGGGATAACTGACTAGTAAAATATATGGCTCTAAAAATAAGAACTTTACTTTAGTTATTGACATTTTTCAATTGTAAAAAACATTTCATGTATCAGAATGTTTATATTTTATTTATTTATTTATTTGATTTAATTGATTTATTCCCCGCCTATCTGGCTCACCTAGAATGTTTATATGATAGCAATAACATATTTATATCATGTTAAAGTTATTTTTAGGGCTTTTTCCTTCTCACAATTACCTTTCAGAAGTTTGTTTATCCAGTAGTGCTCTTCTGAAAACCTCCTTCACATCGATTTGTAACTCAAAAATTTTTACTGGAATTATTTTCATTTCTTCTAAAAGACCTACTTGTTTTCTTGTTACTGGGTACCCATCAATAACATATCTGTGGAGAGAAACCAGACAAAATTCAAACTGAATGCAGATTTATTTTTGGACACTATCAATTCCATTACCATTCATACAGTTGTAAACGAGCATAAAATATATAGAATACTATTCTGAGACAAGAATACAGTACTAAAACAGAGAGCCTTACAGCATGTTATTTTATCTTTAGCTGAATTTCTGTTAAGCAATTCTGTGGGTTCCGGCTTCCTTGGAATGGCTACCTGTTTGCTTCCATGCTCAATGCAAAGTGCTGGTTTAGACCTATAAAGTCCTAAACAGTTTTTGTAACCTGATATCTCACAGAACATCTCTCCCTGAAGCAATCTACCCATACCGTTCACTCCTCAGAATATTTGCCACTGAAAGAACCAACACCACTGAGGCCAGAAAAGTCACAATTAGAAATCAAGCATCTTCTGCCCTGACCCCCTTGTTGTGGAACAAGCCACTGTTGGCGGTCTGTCAGGCACCATCCCTCCCTCTTGACCTTCAGAAAGATGTTAAAAACTGAACTTTTCATGGCACCATTTAATTATCTTGTACTTGAAAACCCATGAGCACTGCTATAGCATTTGCCATGTTATTCTAGGTTTAGGTAGTTGGGATACTAGACTGAGGTTTTAATTTTAATTTAACTGTCTTCTACCCCTTCACAGATTGCTGCCTTGTCGTGGCGAAGGGGCTTGAGTAATTCAGAGAAGGTATGGGCTATGCCATGCAGGGACATCCAACATAGACAGGTCATAGTGGAGAGTTCTGACTAAACGCAATCCACCTGGAGCAAGAACTGGCAATGTCACTCCAGTGGGAAAAGCTGTACTGTGATGCAATCTCAAAGATGATAGAATGATTTCAACATGAATCCAAGGCAGACCTTTCAACATCACAGTAATCCAAGTTTATGCACCAACCACTGATGCTGAAGAGGCTGAAATTGACCAATTTTATGAAGACCTACAACACCTTCTAGAATTGACACCAAAGAAAGATGTTCTTCTCATTACAGGAGATTGGGATGCTAAAGTAGGGAGTCAAGAGATAAAAGGTACAACAGGTAAATTTGGCCTTGGAGTTCAAAAAGAAGCAGGGCAAAGGCTAATAGATTTTCGCCATGAGAACAAGCTGGTAATCACAAACATTCTTTTCCAACAACACAAGAGGCGACTCTACACATGGACATCACCAGATGGGCAATACTGAAATCAGATGGATTATATTCTTTGCAGCAAGATGGAGAAGCTCAAAACAGTCAGCAAAAACAAGACCTGGAGCTGATTGTGGCTCTGATCCTCAGCTTCTTATAGCAAAACTCAAGCTTAAACTGAAGAAAGTAGGAAAAACCACTGGGCTAGTCAAGTATAATCTAAAGCAAATCCCTTATGAATATACAGAACAGATGTAAGGAACTAGATTTGGTGGACAGAGTGCCTGAAGAACTATGGATGGAGGCTCGTAACACTGTACAGGAGGCAGCAACAAAAACCATCCCAAAGAAAAGGAAATGCAAGAAAGCAAAGTGGCTGTCCAACGAGGCCTTACAAAGAGCAGAGAAGAGAAGGGAAACAAAATGCAAGGGAGATAGGGAAAGTTACAGAAAATTGAATGCAGACTCCAAAGAATAGGAGAGACAAGAGGGCCTTCTTAAATGAACAGTGCAAAGAAATAGAGGAAAATAATAGAAAGGGAAAAACCAGATATCTGTTCAAGAAAATTGGAGATATTAAAGGAACATTTTGTGCAAAGATGGGCATGATAAAGGACTCATTTCACACGCTAGCAAGGTTATGCTGAAAATACTCCAAGGCAGGCTTCAGCAGTATGTGGACCAAGAACTCCCAGAAGTACAAGCTGGATTTTGAATGGGCAGAGGAACTAGAGACCAAATTGCTAACATGCATCGGATTATGGAGAAAGCCAGAGAGTTCTAGAAAAACATCTACTTCTGCTTCATTGACTATGCAAAAGCCTTTGACTGTGTGGACCACAGCAAACTATGGCAAGTCCTTAAAGAAATGGGAGTGCCTGACCACCTTATCTATCTCCTGAGAAATCTATACGTGGGACAGGAAGCAACAGTTAGAACTTGATATGGAAAAACTGATTGGTTCAAAATTGGGAAAGGAGTACGACAAGGCTGTATATTGTCCCCCGGCTTATTTAACTTATATGCAGAATACATCATGCGAAAGGCTGGACTAGAGGAATCCCAAACTGGTAT